ATGGAAAAGGGAAAGGTTCCAGGGTGAGAGGGGAGGATTAGCATTAGCTTTTGAGAGCTCCACAGCAGTCCTGCATTTTACAAAGCCATGCAGGATTTCACCAACAGTTCATAAAATGAGAGCCTCGCTAAAACATCTCAGTGCAAGTGGGTTACATCATGATTGGGAATTTTCAAGACTATCCTTTCAGAATGACTTCAAAACTCGGGGTCTCTGCTCACTACTGATGAGGGTACCTGCAAAAGACTCCTGAGTAAGCACTCAGTTAAGTGAGCCAAGAACACACCAGGGCAGACCATGCAGATGGAGACTAAACTACAGACTCACGTGGCCAAGTCCTCAACTGGAATAAACTGAAATAACTCCTCAAAACCAATGGTCTGTACTATTTACACAAAATGAAGAAATGACTCGGAGCTTTGATCAGAATGCCAGATTATTTTTATAAGATCTTACTAATTAATTACAGTGACAACTGTAATAAATGAGAACTGTACGATCAAGTCAAACAATCACAAGAACATAAATCTCCTGTCTAGCACAAGCTGATACATTGCTAATAAAATGTCTTTTTATCCCATCGCAAGTGAGGTGCTACAAATYGAGCAGCTTGATTTTCATATCATGCAGCTTCATCCTGAATCAGCAAATTTAAGCTAACCAAGATGTAAAGAMAACCAAACTAAGGAACCTTTGCCACATCAAGTGAACCTTATAAGAGGTCAAGATGTTTGTGTTACTGAAAGGAAAACCTGTCATTTTTGCAATGCATAAATAACACAGTAATAACTGAGGACACGGGGGCTGAAATACACAACTGCATTCTTTCCACAGTTTTTATAATATACTCTACCCTGAGGACTTTATGCAAGTACTCTGTAGGGAATGAAAGGCTAGAGTTCATGTGAGCGTACAACGTTCAGAGATGGTGCAGAAATCAAGTATTTCCTTAGAGAGCTCTTTTTAATTAATCAAATGAAATATGTTTGTAATATCTCCCATGCTGAACACTTCTGGCATTTTATTCAAAAAGCCACACAATGGCTCTACACCGCAACAAATGCACAATAACTCATGCAAAAGCTTGGAAGCAGAAGTTGGTAGAATATAAGTGTAATAAGGCATTTTCACCCCTTCCTGGGAACTGCATGTACTATATACTATCTATTCTTTATTTCAGCTGTGGCAGTACAAGACTGCAGCAGGATTTAAGCAGAAGAAAAAAGCTGTATTCCCTAGAAAAAGAAACAAGCATAAAAAAAGAGCAGCTGCGGACTGTAGGTGTCTGCAAATGAGAGATTTGGTGAGATAAGTCTATGCAGCTGGATCTGCAGTAGCCAATGTAAGAGGGCACAGACACAGCGCCTTAAGCAGCAGAGAGAGCAATACCTGTCCTGTCTAACTGTGTGCACAGCCTCCAGTACAGGTTTGGCCTGGGCCAGCTCTGCCTCTCCCGGATGGTCCCAGCCGTAGTCCATGGGCTGTGCTGGGGACCARGCCCCAACACATGATGCTATTAACAACACAGCTCCTTATCTCGTCATCATTCAACAAAACCTTTGTATAAGATTCTTGTATCTGATGTACACAGTGTGACACCTAACAAATTACCACTCCTAAGGCCTTCACAGATCTCGAGGTGAAGAATTCCAATTTATATGTTTAGCCCTGATAATTCCCTTTGAAATAACAGGGCTTGGAAATTTAGCATCCTGGCAGCACTGCCACTGATTTTTGCAGGACCTCATCTCCAACAAGAGTTCTGGCAGTTGCAAGCCACATTTGAACTGAGAGTGGATATATAYTTAAAATCAGATTGCGTAAGTCTTAGTTTTCTATATAGCTCCCCTACACTGTTGTTAGAGCTCTAGAGAGCATCTGCAGCSGTGCCACCAAAGCTCTCTGCAGCCATCAAAGCTTTCTCAGGTTTGGATTCAATTTGCAAATGCACATATGTAGCTGAAATAATTGCTGCAGTTGCCAGGCCCATTTTGGCAATAACAATAAGTGGCTTACAGGCGGTTTCAGAGCCCTGTTGCTTCCCATAAATGAAGGCATTTATGCAACAGTTTTGGTCATGCTGCTCTAAGATAACTATGCCAATATCCTTTTGGGAGATACCTGTGTGCTTTGATCACTGCCAAGGTACCTCCTTCAATGACCTTTATCTGCAGCAGGGGAGTGTTAGTAAGCTTTTCTTAATGCCTAGCCCAAGAGTAACACTTTACTACCATGTTAGCCTATTATCTGCTTTCCATAAGTTCCCGTTTGGATGGGAGATCTCCCTTTACACGGCAAACTCTAACTGCTAATGTTGAGGTTTTCTAGCTGTCTCTTTCTGATTGTTTCGGCCCAGATTCCAACCATGTCCTATATCGAAAATTGCTGCCGTGGCTCTTCTGCTGTAGATCATTCTTAGAGATTTTAATAATTTTACTTTCCTTCTGAACCCTCTGCTCACAATGCACATTTGTTCCTTTATTTTATACAGAGTGCTATGCATCTCACCTACACAGCACATAGCTCCTCCTCCACCTCTGCTACCTGAAAATCACTCAGAAGCCCCAATTTCATGYACCTAACTGAAAACAAAGCAAGTGTCTGTCTTCTCTTGTGGAAGGCAAAGCTCGAGGAAAAAGGCTTTTAGTTTTTTATGAGATAACTAACAATCTCTTGTCGCTTCAGATTTTCTCCTAATGTGCAGAGTGAAGTACTCTCTGTGCATCTTTGAATTATTGAGAGCATTCCCAGAGTTTTACGCTGGTGGGACATCTGATGGGGTTGGTCTTACCTTCCATGTTTCACTGTTTTGCTTCCCCTCAGCCCTGTGTGCTAGGCAGGGCATCTGGCACAGCTCTAAGTTCTGCCCACTCAGACTTATTCAACACAAGCCTCAAGTCACAAGGGTCCATTGCAAATATTTTTTTCATCCTCAAACACACTACAAAGAGATAACAATCACCACAAAAAGCAGTTCAAGGGTATTGTTTTGAGTCCAGATTTTCATCTAGGAAAGAGTGGCTTCTTGTGCCACTGGAATATCAGCGTGCCAAAATGATTAATCCTTCAGCCAGAGAATTCCTCAAGGAGGAAGATTAGAGGACCTAACAACTGAGAGAGATGAATAAAGTGCTCCTAATGCTTTATTTTCACCCACTGAAAAATGCAAGACATTCTAAGCTAAAGATGTATTCTCTAGGTCCTTTCCATTAAGCTGTCAGCTGCAGAAATAATAAAAAATGTGAAACTGGCAACAAACATGGGAAAAAATAAAAGACCGTATCCAGGTTGATAGTGCCTGTCTTTTGCTGCAAATGTGTTGTGTGAAGTAGTAGGGAGTTGCCTCCCGACAGTGAGCATACGAGACATCCATTTGATGATACCAGTCCTAGAAGTAGCTGGACTGGGTCCCAGAGTGGAAACTTGGCATTCGCCTACACGTTGAGGACAATGGAAGCTGTTCCTCCTGCCACCGATGAAAAATTGGTCATATCTGTTGGCCCTTTTTCATAAGGGTGAACTCGTGGCTGGAAACTGCTGACATGGAAACAGTCTGCATTCGCTCTGGAAGGTCTTTAGGGCTTTATGCATGRCAATAAGCTCCTTGCTGTTGTTGTTATATCTACAGAAATGGCTGAGATGCCATTTATGCCACCCTTTCTGTCAAGCAGAGGCACTAGCAGGGAACATGATCTTCTCATGCAGATGGTTCCTATAAATGACAATATGTGCAAGACCAAATCTAGGGCAACACTTACAAAATGCTTCTATGACAAATGGGCTGATGAAAAAGTAAATGGGCTCCTGCGAGAGGTATAGGCTGAGGGACTGGAACACATGTGAGCTGCTGAGGCACTGGCAGCGTGCTCAACAAATTGCTCTGCTGTTACTTCACTTCCAGAGGCTGTGCAAGTTACAGGGGTTTAACCTATGAAGTCATTTCTGGCTTGTCTTTTGGGGAGATAGGCATACTATCTAACTGATTACATAGGAAGGCTGCATTTAGAAAGTATTGCTTCAATTACATTCACTCTGACACTCCGGTAGCTCCAGGGTCTCTCTGATTTCTCCTTTCTGGGCAACTGGGATGTCCTGGCGCTGCACTGGTGTGAGACAGGCACCACATACCCTGCACGCTGCAATTTCCCTGGAAGACCATCCAGGCCATTTGCCCCAGAAAGGTGCAAAGGATGGGGAGCCACCGCCACCTGAGCAACTAGGACCTCAAAGAGATGGATGGCATGGTACACTCCAGTGGCTTGCTGTTACACACACGAGCTCAGGATTTGTGTCTCTGAGGCTCTCCACAGGGGCTGACCTTAGCAACACTAAAGTTTGTCTCGTTAACCCTCCAGGAAATGTTTATTTACACAGGCTTTTCCTGGAGATAGGTGTTGTTATTTTGTTGTTGTTGTTATTGTTATTTTATTAGACGAAGGATGGGGCATTTCAGTTCTATGGGTATTTTGCCAACCTACACGTCTGTGATAACATGTGCTGTAAAAAGGAAGCAGGTACTAAAATAACACTTTTGTCCAAATATTTTTACTGACGATTGCTAGAAGTAGCGTGCATGACTGCTATCACAGAAAGGGTTTAAAGTTGCACTTCTTTATTTTGATCAACTGATTCACCCTGTACCTTTCACACAYAGTCAGGGTCACTCCCTCCTTCCAAAGATAGTTACCCCTATTTTTTGTGAGTGAACGCCATAGGAAACAATAAAACATTCCTAAGTGGGGAAAAAGAGTGACTAAAGAAATCCAAATCCCCAGGGAAACGTGGGGCAGAAGTAACATCCCAAGTATCTGCCATGACCTCAGCACCCTGTTTGAAGCTCTCTAATATCTCTTCCCTCTTTGATGTCCCTCTTCAACGATGTAAGGATTGTGCTGTTTTCCACGTGTACTGAATGGTTCTCATTCAAAGCCCTGTTGTTTGAGGGCATGAGTAGCCCAGGAACAGTGTTCAGTGCAAAACTAGGCATTAAAAATTCCTACCATCAACCACTGGTTTTGGCTGGGAACTCTTCAGCCGCAATGAGGGCCTGAAACGCGTCCGGTCATTGAAGCTCCAGCTCTTCTGAACCTTGGTCGGGCTCCCTTCCGTAGCGATGTCGGCGCTCGGTGACCGGCGGTCCCCGACCGAAGACTGCCTGTTCTTAATGCTCTGACCTCGTGGGCTGGCCATGCGGACACGCTCTTTGAAACTTAATTTTTGACTGTGAAGAAGAGAAATATGCTTTATTCTATGGTTCCTGCACTCCATCTTCTTCTATCATATCTTATGCAAATAATTTCTAAAAATTCTAGGCAGTATGAATCAGTTGCTTCTGGAATTTATTTCATCTGGGAATGGAACTGATTAGAAACAATTGTTGTTTGATAGCAGTATTATCAATAACTGTCTATCTTACAGGACAGAATAATGTTGTAATGGAAATTAAAATTAAGACATAGAAACAAAATTAAGCAAATGATTATGGAGTAATCTTTTCTTTTCTTATTCTTTGAATTTTTATCAGTTTATTTCCATGTTAGCTGGCCCAGCTCAGTGCATTTCTGACCATCTTTACAGATAAACAAGGGAAAAAAAAGTATTTATTATTACTGCATGCCATGTATTTTTTATAGCAGCCAGGAATATTGCTGTTAGTATAGTCATGCTTTTTAAAGATGTGGCACTTTCCAACATTTCATGTGCATTGTTAGCGAATACTCTTATTCAGAATCCCGTGTTACAGCACTTAGTTGCACAAGACAAAACCAGGAGTAACAAGACATCCAGGAGAGGACTGTGATCAGTATGATGACTGATTAATGGAAATGCAACGTTAATCTGTGTGCTCAATAAAGTCATTACCTGAGATTAAGCTGGGAACTTGTCACCTACAGCAGGCACTTCTTTAAGACAGTTACAACAGTCCAGCCAAGCTAATGATCGTGACTGCTTGATCAAAGGTGGCCTGTAAGCTTACAGCTGGCCAACACTGAACTGATTATTTTCCCTCCTGTGCTCGTGACCTTCCCATTTCRGTCAGTTGAATGGGACATATGTAGAGTTTCTATTTTCACGGTGCTTAAATTACCTTTCTWCACATCTGAAAACATATGTAGCACCTGTTGGGGGCCTCCCAACTATCTGCATATATTTTTCATTATCTAGCACTTCTGTTTTGGCTCTTATTTCATTCTGGCTCTTCTTGAAGCAGAAGGCACAAAGGGAAAAYAAAAACATGCTTTGGAACAAACATGTTTTATCTGTGAGGTGAAGTTCAACTTGTACAAGGGAGAAGATTTTCTTGACCAAAGGTCAACCCTATTCTTGCAAGGAAAGAGATGGAACAAGTGATGCTTTAGACTTGGAGTAGGATTTGGGGGGTTCCTTTAGAACACCAGTGGCAAAGATAGTCTACCTGTAAATTATATTTGAATTTGAAGTTGAGGCACTTTCTAGTTTCCCTGCAGTCTTTGCATTTAACTGTGGCAGGTCACTTGGAGRTGTTTTTCAACAGAAATGATTTCTGCAGCTAATTAACTAATGCTAAAATGTATTATTCCTTTAAATGTTTAACCAACTGCACTCTGAAAATACAGTGTTAATATGTAATTATGTGAAATGGAATGTAATTACAAATTTCCGTGGCTGTGAATTGTTGAGATAATCAGATATCTTTTCCATGCATAGCAGAGAAGAGCACAGCATTTCAATCTGAATACAGACATCACTGAGACTTGAAAGGATGCAGTTTGTTGCAGGCAAAGCACATGCTGAGATATTTATAATGAGCAAAGTTTCAAGAATGCTATAAAATAAGCATGACAACAGAAAGATTATTAGATAAATGTGCTTCTATATAGCAATTGAAGAAATACCTTTAGTATAATTTCTCAATCTAGCCCCCTTCCTCCCTTGTCCAAAGTAGGCAATTGTCGAAACAAATACATGATGGTGCTGGAAATGTCATCTCTTTCTGCTGCAAATTGTTACCCACACCTGTAGGGCTAAATTCTGTTTTCTTTTCAATGCAGAAGATCCTCAGAACCCATTATTTGAAAGAAAAGCAAGTTCTAAAATGTATTTTTCAATGAAAATTACATTTTATGACCTAATTGCCTTTCAGTTCTGGAATCTTTTGAATTGTAGGATTTAATGAAAATATAATCTGGGAAGTATTTATTAGCCATATTATTGCATACTATACAGCATGAGCAACACAATCAAAATGAGCTTACAAGTATTATCTCTAGGCATGCCTCCTACATGCTATATTTACTCATCTTAGGGCTGAAATTTCAGGAACAGTAATTTAAGCATTAAATCAAATTATTAATTTCTTGACAAATCTTACAAGTGAAAAAAATATTCTGAACAGCTCTCTTCCTCTTGGACTAATTAGAATGAAAGCAAAATCAATAAGCTAGCCATAATTAAGATTAGTATGAGTCATATTTTTTCTTTTATTATCAGAGTAACTCCAATCTAAAAATGAAAACAGAAAAAATGAAAAAAGCACATATGTTCTTATGTCAATTAACTTGTACTAATGTAAACAATGTCTGCCTTTAAATGATTCGGGCAAGTGATTACAGGCCATTTCATTTATAAAACTGAGTGATACACAATGGCTACTTAACCTGAGTATCTTTACTTCTCCAACTCAAAGCAATGAGCCAGTGGTGAAAGAACAGCAGACACTTCATCTGTACTAAAGACATTCGCAGAAGTGCAACACTGAGAATCAAAATATTAATTTAAAATGCTGGCTGCGCACCTGAACCCCCCTGCTTTGCAGCAATGGCAGTGTCATGGCATGCCAAGGACCCATGCTGAGAGTGCTGAACCATGAACGGGATGCGGGGTTGAGAAACTCCGTTTTGGCCTTTGAGTTCCTCCAAAGACACCAGCTGCAGCAGTTCCCCGCTCTTGGATCGCTGCTCCTATCCTGAGACTGGTGGGAAACGCTCAGGAGTGGCTCGTTTCCAAATCCCTGGGTCCTGCTCTGGCACAGGCAGAACCTGCACTGCTGGCAATATGGGAATTCCTGCCCGGAGAAGTTACAACCACTGTCCTCGGAAGCAACACGTCACAAGACTCTCCTATACATGGCAAGTAACCTGTCAGAAGGAATCACTGAATCTGTGCATTTTTCAGGCATCCTCACCATTTTTTTTCTCGCACTGAAAGCATAGTGCCTTGCTTCTGATGGCCTGATGCAATACAGGTGGAGACCACAGACCACTTCTGTGACATTTCAGATGYCTTTGGGCCTTATTTTTTCACTTGAAGCAGTGGCCACTGAAACTTTTGGGTCCTTTACTCTGAAACTAGTGTTGGTTGGATTAGCACTGATCCCACTAACAATCCTTCAGCTCCTGCAGGACTTAGCCAATTACCTTTTTTCTCTTCCCCTTTTCTCCTCTCTTTTTACAAAGTGTTCAAGGGGAATGCCTTCAGGTAATGCAAGTCTGTTAATACCAATGAGAAATTTGCAAATTCCTGAAAATCATCAAACTGAACTCGAACATTGGTCCAGAAGGCAGAAACACAGAATCTGGAAAATGGACGTCTAAATGCTTTCTGCAACACAAGGTTTTCCAAATCAAGCCTAAAGACAAGGATTTCATAGAATCACAACTGGTCCTCCATATATTATTTTAGATTTGTGTCTCTCTATCRTAAATATTCCCTGATTGGCATTTTTTTTATAGATAGTTTCTATACACAGTAACTTTCAATTGCAATCTTCCTTAGCAGTGGTGATATCTTTGGCTCAAGTGATAACCTTCTCTTGAAGGTTGCAGGTTTGGGAATATTTTCATAGAGATAATGCTGCAGCTTTGAAGCCCGTTTCAGTGGAGATCAGTTACAACTGGAACCTTGGAGAAGGATGCTAATGATTTCTTCTCATATTTTATGACAGATGAGTTGTAGGATCTCACCAATTGCTCTTCCTGATCAGGACATGCACGAACCATTCACTTCCCTCTGTCAGCGAAGCACTTTGTACTTCTTTAGTTCTTTTTTCTTTTTTTTTTTTTCCTCTTAAATTTTGTCTTTTATATCGGTGATTTATGAAAGAATTGGTGTTTACCGACACTAGAGGTCACTGTAGCTTCACTGCAGGAGCAATGAACGCTACTCTCTGATGGGTCAAATGACTAGACTTGATTTTATTTTAATTGATAAATGCTGATGAACATTTGTTTTTCCTGTCTGTATTTATAGCTCTGTATACCCTCCATGGACGATCTAACTATAATTTTTGTTTAGCTCTGCATCTCTGGTTCCACATCCCACCTCCCTATTTCCCTTCCTATCATCCTTCCCATTTGTGGTCACATTCATCCTCTGCCCTGCTTCAAACTTAGACCTGCAGCACCTTATCACCAGTTGCAATTTATGATCTGTTTTTCAGCTTTTCAATATCAGCAATCAAACATAAATATAATTTTCCAGCAATTAATTTTCAATAAATATGAATGTTGATTCTTATCAAGCCAGCATATGACTTCACTGAAATTAAGCTAAGTGGAATTGAGCTAAATAGAACAGTAAAGTCTGACACCTGAAATTCAGATGTTTAAGTCTTCTCCACCAGTCTCATGCTAGAAGCATGAACCCAAGAAATTTCTTACTTTGTATTTTTGGTTTCTTCTTTTGGTGCATTTCTTATTTTTCAAAAGTTTCAGATAAATAGAAATTAATTTGCTTCATTTTTATCGTCAGTTTATACTTTATTTTATTTTTAATATGGAAAAATTGTAATAAGCATTAGTTGTAAATCAAGAGATTTCTCCCTTAAGATCCATTTAAGATCTCCTTAAGATCTAGGAACTATTATTTTTGCTAAGAGACACAGTTTCAACAGAATTCAGCTGAAGCAGATGGTTGTTTTCCCATGCATTTCTCTACCTTATAAATACAGGAGGCAGGCACAGCTTCTAAAGCTGTGTCCAAGGGGATTCTTCTCAATARCACCTATAGCTTTCAACAGTTGATATTGCCTAGCATGTTGAGTCTTAATATTCCTTGCCAATTACTAGTTATGTGACAGAGAATTCAACTACYGTGGCTATAAAAATCCTCTTGGACTTTGGGAAATGGCACTATCTRAATATTCAACCACCGTTGCAGGTCTCAGCAGGAAAATACATTCCAAAAGTTCAAGTCTCAGGCAGAGGAGGAAAATGGGGCTGAGCAAACCACGACGTGCTGCAACTGCCCAACTGCATGAGCTTCAGAGAACRGTATTATTGACACTGTATTAATGTCATTGCAGGCAACAAGCAAGGAAGGGAATTACAAGCACTGAAAAAGAAACCAGAGGAGTCCTTTGGAGAAGAAAGGGACTTCAAAGCGCTGAGAAGAGGAAGTCAATGAATCATGCACCTGATGTTAGTTGGCATTCTCAAACATCATGTGAATAGGCAGGATGCTGAGTACCTATGTTTCCGAGGGGTGTACATCCTGAAGAGCTTCTGTTTATTACTACAAAGCTTACTGGGAGTGAGGGGAAATAGAGGACCACGTTACTACACAATCCGCTACCAGGTAGGGGTTAGGTTTTCCAAATCAAGTTAGATTCTTGATCGCAGGTTGTTTCTTTTTTCATGTGGTGCATGCAAAGATAATAATTTACATTAAATCTACTTTTAGAAACAGAGATGACACAGGAGTGTGTGGAGAGAATTCCAGGGTATCATGTACTTGAATGTCTCAGAGCAGGGGATGATGATATACGTTTTTCCCCAAGCTCCTATTCTAGCAAAACTCAACCATATTGAACCAGAGAGAGTTGCCTGAGTAGCTAATCCTTATTCAGGCCCACTATTTATTTAAAATGATAAAAAAAGCCTGCAGTAGATGGATGAAATTCGTTCTTTGCAGAAAACCAGTATGTGGCATACGCAGAGCTTAAAAACGCTTGTGTTCTCAGTGTGTTGTAAGATTCATCAGCCTTGAGCTGGTTCCCTGCACAGAAAGAACTTCAGCCAGAATGTATAATTGAGCAGAAATAAATAGATATAGATATAGTGAAATACAGATCAATATCTACAGATTTATAGATACAGTTAATCTACCATATAGGATTTTAAGCTGCTTGCAGAGCTCTGGCAGAGTTCAGAGCCAGCCCAGTTGCAGCCAAGGAAAACACCTGAAAGGCTGCCCGCTATTAATTACTGTGATAAATGATTAAGTAGAACACATGTGATCTTTTGAGAAACAGAAAATAGAATGTGTTGAACATATTTGTATTAAAGTGAGCATGAAGCTGCAGCCTCAGCAGCACAAGGCTCGTTCTCAAATACCAGCAACCTAACTTASCTACCTAATGAAAGACTGCAGGTCTCTGTAAATGATGAAGTACAAAAATTTGTGTCTGCAAACCCAGAATTCATTTTAATAGGTAAAAAAACCTCTGATCTTTTACCTAAAGCAAGAAACCTTTTCCTGCACTATTWCTAAAATGGAGTAAAGAGCAAAGAGCATATTCAGAAAGCAATCCAATGCACTGCTGGTATCAACACATCTTAACTCGAAGAGTGGAACAAGCAGCAGCTTGCTTAGTTAACACAGCATCCCATGCAAGTCACTCAGCATTGCAGTAAGAAAGAAGTTAAATAGTCGAGGACAGTTACCTCTAAGTACGTTGCAGCAGTTTTTGCATTTACACTTTAACCACAAAAGACCACATACACGATGTATTTTAAATGACACAAACATACAGCAATATATCAGCGTAAGAATTATAAACAGCCATTGACAAAAACACACCTTTTTAAAAAGCACTGAGTGGCCTGTAGGTTGTTTACTGTAGACTAGGATCTCAGAAAAAGGTTAAAATTGTGGATTTTCTTGGTAAATGCACACTGCTATTTCTTTCRCAAAAGCATAGGTTTATCTTGGCTTTATAAATGCGGTTTTTAATACTCTATTTGGTAGAAATCACTGGAAAAAAAAGTCTTTAATATTGTGTTAACAAGTTCATTTTTATACCTACCCTAATACACAGCAGTAAGAGCACATAATAAATAAGAATTTCTGAAGAGTGAAATATAAACTAAAAAAAAAAAATTGCTAAATCATTGACTTCCTTTAAAATCACAATCATTATCACTACTTTGACAGTGAGGTGTTTCTCTCACCTAGCTTATGCTTCTTATAAGTAAATTTTTCTCTGCAAGTGTCCATGGGTGAAGCTGGGAATAAACTGCCCTTTCTTAAAACTCTGCTTTGGAGATGGTAMCGTAAGGGGATGCACAACCACTTGATGCCTCAGCTTGGGGCTCACCTCCAAAAAGCCCAAAGTGACTTGTTATTGTTGGAGGACTGAGGACAAGACAGAGCCGTAATATATGTGATATATKTAATATATGTAATATATGATAGCTATAATATATGTCCTGGCTAGCAGGCTGTGCAGGTGATGTCTATGAGCTACCACAGGACGGCTGTGGCGGGCAAGCAGGTAAGCTGCTTGCAAAGCAGAGCAAAGCCGGCGATCCCAAGGGACTGCTGTCCTAGGAGGAGCCAGGGCATGCCAAGGGAAAGGGGGACCTCGGTGCCTGCAAGGCCACCTGCCTCCAGGGCTGTCTTCGCCCTGTGGCACCCCCTGCGATGCTGCATCAGCCTTCCTCAGAGCGGAGCCTGTGCAGACCGCGCTGCTCCTCCTCTGCCACTGCTGCACCAAGAGCAACGCGAGGCATAYGGCTAGAAAGAATAAAACCTAGTTCTCCCAGGAAAAAACTGAGACAAAGAAGCAAATCCCTGCAGCTCTATCCTATCCATGTAAGCTAGATACAAATGAGACCTGTCTTTATTATCAGTAAAGYGTTACAATTCATTGAGCCTATTGTGCAGAACCATTTAAAGCTCTTTAAGAAGAAAAAGATTTAGAAGATATAAGAAATAAAAGAAGCTACAAACCTGCTAGAAGCTTCCCCTTGTTCTTTTCTTCAGGTCAGGGAGTGGGAGGGAAAAACATATTTGTTATGCAGATAGTAATCACATTACTTAGTTACAGATGATGTTAGATATATGCTAAACTGTAAATGGGTATGTTAAATAAAGTAGTGTACAACACACACATTACAGGGCAACCACAAAAACATTCAGGCAAGACTTGTAACTACAATGCTTTTGGAAAATAAACTTTTCAGTTGTTTTAACACATGCATAACATGCTTCGTACATACCACTGCAGACTGAGTTGGCAAAGCACTTAGGCAAAATGCATTGCTGACACATATATAACAGAAGGCTGTAGACTCTTATTAGATAAGGTTATTTCTAGTAAATAAAATGGTTTAGTTTTAGGATATTACAGCAATATGCTTATTTAAAATAACAATTAGATGCACTTTTTGAGGGACAGTCATTTTAGATATTTTTAGGTTAGGGTTTAGGTTTTTTAGGGTTACAGTTTCATTGCTTATGTAATTATTTATAAAATTTCATATCCATTTCTTTATACAAATGTTGCCTTCAACCTGTTTGTATGTGGCAAAAGAATTGCTCACTTATTAAAATCAATATTCCATGTAACTTTTAATCTAAAAGCTCCTTTTAGTTTGAAGCATTTTGGAATTATAGTTGTGGTAATGGATTACTTATGGCTCTGTTCTTGTCAACTCTTTGAAATTCAAAGATCAGCTTTGGGTGCCCAGCCAAACCTTTATTTGGCTGAGCTTCTTGGCACACGATTACCTTTTTACTGTCATGTGGATGTTCATCACCCAGTTTTGAGAGAAACCACTAATTCTCTTGAACTGTCTGCAATAACAACAGTTAGGATGCTTATCACAGCTTTCCTACAAGACTCTCATTGCATTTCTTTTTAATCTTTATCTAATACCTTTTATTCTCTGACTTACACCCTGCATAGGATCAGTCAATTTACTACCTTCTGCTAAATCTTATGCTAGTGAATAGTGAACTAGTGAATTGCCCTGGACTACCAGTTCTCTGTGAATTCTCACCCAAACAAATAAAAAAAAAAAATCTATATACTTTTCTTGATTGTCAAACTGTGACATCAAGTCTTTTAGGTTACCTTCCACTGACTGTATATAATAGGGGCTGTGATTTCTCCTAAGGAGACACTGAATGCCACGATGTTTTCTCCCCCTTGTAGCTATAGCCTAAAACATGGGTGCAGTCTGGGCAAAGAATATAAAAATACTGATCAACTTAAGGAATGAGATCTGTATTAACCTTATAACTTCCCCCTTGGTGAGAATTTGGTACTGGGCTAACAAATATATTGATTTGAACTGATAAAAGGAGAAATCCCGTTCAAATGTCTATTTGCTCAGAAGACTGTGGATCCCAACACAGAAGTGACTGGATGAAGGGTTGTGCATGTCACGGCACAAATGATCAGGGACGGAGCCTCCAAGCAAGTCTGCTTTTGGGCACGCAGGCCTCTCAGAGCAAGAGSAGGGGGCACGTTTCACTGCCCTCCCCCAGGTGCCCATCCAGCACATTTAGCRGAAGAGCAGCTGGTGCTGAGCCATGGGAACCAGGGCTTGGGCAGAGGGGACCCACAGCGGGTGCATTCGGGGCGCTCTCGGCATGAGCAGTGGCAGTGAGTTGGGCTCCCTGCTCCCTCACATCAGGGACCTTCATCTCTGACCTTCAATGGGGACAAACTCGTGTTTATAGCAGGTAACGTGGATTTCTACCCAAATTTGGCTCTGGATCAAGACTGAAGGGAGCCCTTTTTGCCCAGCAATAAGCAGTATTCTCCAGGAGATGTGTTCTTCTATAAGCCTGTTATAAATAATAATACATCTTGACTGACAGCATGCAGGAGGAATTAGTGCAACTTCAAAGTGGAGATTGTGATTGTCAGTGAATTCTGATTGCTGGTAAAGCACTGCTGCTGCGGAACATGGACAGTAGGAAAATGTTAACCTTGACATATGAATTTTGGTGGGAGAGAATGTTTCTAATGCCTATGCTCATTGACATATTTCAAGATCAATGGAAATGACTTGTATTTGTCCCACTGTACTAGGCTCCTAGATAACACTGGCCTGACTTGTTAGTTGGAATTTTTAATGAGGGCTGGAGAAGACAAAACAAGACAAAACAGACAAATACTAATTCTCTAAAAGCTTGAACAGACATCAAGAACAGCACCAGCTGCCATAGTTGTACCTACTTTGTAGGGCTGCAGGTATGCAAGGCCTTCAAATGAGGCTTCCAGGTAGCAATGGAAACCGATTTCTCATCAGCCGCATAACTACGCCATACACACTACGTGCAGGATATATGATAAAAAAGAAAAACAAGGCAAGAGGGAGCAGGGGATGAAACAAAAAATTGAAAAGCAGATTAGTAACCAATACAAGTCATGGCTTTCTTTTATCATTCATAGCACTGATACATGCCTGAGGGGAGGAAGAATACTTTCATAATATCGCCAGGTGGCTGTCAGGTTTGTTCGGCTGGCATCGGTAGAATAAAACCGCCAAGTAGCCTGGTATGGGGAAACAATAGAAAAGCACAAAGGAACCAAGAACATGAAGTGCCAATGCCACTGCACTGAGTATGGAGAGAGCTGAGTTTGCTCAGACTGGGATGTGAGCTATCACATCGACACAGAAAATATTGCTACCAGGCAAACCCAGCAACACGTTGGTGTAGCGTAACACGGGGAAGTGAGAGTTACTAGCTGTGTGGAAGTGCTAAAAGACATCCAGCCCATAAAGGAGCTCAATCAGCAATGCAGTGATTTATTTGTGAAAATCCCACGGGGGAAGCCCACACACGCTTGCAGTCTGAGGTAAAGAAAGTGTCGTAATACATTTTGTAAACAATGCTGAAAACCAGACAAAAAGCATTTAGAAGAAAAGCGGAGTATTCTCTGTGGTTTGAGGCTTGCTGGATGTTTAAAACTGAAATAAATCTTCTCAAAGGTGATACCATTTTTTGTGAGACTACAAAGCAGAACACTGAATTCAGATTTCACCATTTAGCTTTATAACTGCATGTGGATAGCAAGACATATCCTCAGTTCAACAAACTGGTACAGTTTCCCTGATGTCAGTGTAATATATTAGTATGTACTAGTTCAGCAACTGTGCTGACACCTTTTGAAAGTTTCCTAGATATCT